ACCCCCCTGCAAGCGCCCGCATAAACTCCTTAGCAGCCTACTCCCTCCCTCGGAGGGGAGTGGGTCCCCAAAGGACCTCAGGCAGAGGGGGGCCTGCAGGCTGCGAGGGGAGCTGAGCCCCAGGCATCAAGAGCAGCCAGAAGAGCACGTGGGCTGGGCGGAGTGGCGCGGCGTCCTGCAGACGGAATCTCACCGCACAGAGATGGGGGCATCACCGCTGCGGTTGGAGTAGTTAACAACAGCATTGAAGGACTGGTTCACCCACTGCCAGAACACCACGGTCGGAGTCCTCCTGGGGGGCACAAGGTCCGTACTTGCTCCGGTCCCTGCTACAGCGCCCCATCCTTGAGCCGCTCTAACGAAACCCCGAAGGTTCTTCCCAGACAGGAGGGCCCCAGTCGATGATCCTAGAACCCGCCCTGCTCACCCCTGCTCACCGCCTCACCCCCCTTTCTCAGGCTCCTTCTGAGGATGGGAGGGACTAACAACAGCTCCCGCCCAACACGATTGAGCCAAACTGGCCCCGGGAGGAAGCACACAGCCACCAAGGCAGGCTCTAGCTCACAGCACTCAGCAGCGGATGGGGAGGGAGACCTGCCTGTAGAAGGTGAGCATGCAGCCCGTGATGGTCATGTTCATGGGCACCTGGGCGGACATCCGGCCAATGAGGACCACCTTCTCGCCCGTGTCTGGGTGGAAGGCAGAGTCGTACACATACTTGGCCCGCCACAGCTGGTCCTCGGTGAGTCCTGGGGTCACCACACCAGCCCTGCAGAAGTTGGCAAGGCACTGACAGGCTGCTCTAAGGGCAGACTCCCAAGCTCTGTCTGCCTCACAGGGAACTCTGAACAGACCGAGAACCGTGGCCCACAACCTCAGAAGACGGAGCCCTTTGTCTCTAAGGGACTGGTCACTAGAGGGGCGAGCCAGAGCTTCCCAGAAGTGGGAGCGCTGCTTCCCTTTCCCTTCTAGCACACAGTCTGCTGGGTCCCAGGCGATGGTAGTTTCCAAAGGATCAAAAACTTAGGGGCACCAGAGAGCTTTCCTCCTGATGACGAGAGGAGTGCCCTCCTACTTCCTTTGGAATGGACCCTGAACCCCTCCAGCCTCTGAGAAAATGGACCAATACTGGGAAGGGTCCCTGCAGAGCGTTTGTGCATACGGCAGCCCCACCCCCACCCATAAACGTCAATGCTACCTTCTCAAACCAAACGCCATCAAATTCTTTGGGCTAAAACTCTGTGCCATAGGTGTCTGTGATGCCAGCTGGCAGGGCCAAAGAAGGAGAGGGCTGTGCAGCAGGGTCACGCTCAAGGAGGGGAGGCAGGTACAAAATGCTCTAGATTACCTTGCTATGAATGGGACCCTGGGTGACAGGGTCAGGTGGAGGAGGGATCACCTGTAGTTCTGCACAATGTTCCGGGAAGCTTCCAGCTGTGCCGCAGACAGCAGCAGGTTTCGGGGGTCAGTCACAGTGAAGAAGTGCCGGGCTCTGCCCAGGAAGGTGCTTTGGTCCCAGCGAGGTTCCTGAATGTTGATGTCTAAGGGCAGTTCACCCATTTTCTGCAAGACAGGGACAAGGGCCAGAGAGCTTCCAGGACAGGCCCAAAGGTTTCATGTGGAGGAAGCCCGGCCCCTGACCCCCAAGACCTCAAGGTGACTGCAGATGGGTAGGCAAAGGTGGAGGAGTCCTTTCCTAGGCAGTGTCCTGGCCAGGGACCTACAGCCACAGGAGGAGGAGGAGGGGAAGACCAGACGGGCAAAACAGATCTCCCTGTGCCCTGGCCTGGTGCAGATTTTCAGGATGGGATTTAACTGTGCCTGACTGATGCATGCATGAACCTAATCCCCGTGCAGCTACTCATGGGCGCCGGACGCACTAAAACACGTATGATTACACACCCATGCCCACATCCGCCACAGCCCCAGGTGCGCTGAGACCTGGGTACAAACCCTGGAGGCTGTTTGGGGAGAGCTTCCCACACTCCAGCCCCTGCCTGGAGTAGAGCTTTGGACCTCCCCACGGCTCCGGATCTCCCCACGCTTTATCTGCTCCGGAGCGCAAGGTGAAGTTAGTCGCGTCCGTGCACGCAGGCATACACTCGGCCCCTTTCCAGACCTCTCTCCTGCAACCCACGCTAAGGACCTCAGGCTCTCCCTGCTCCCTGGCCGAGTAGGGCTGGCACAGGCTCCCACCCACCTCTCTCCGCGCCACCTACCTCCAAAATGAGCAGGGCTCCCTGGACGCTCCCTCCACCCAGCACAGAGAGGAAAGCCCGGAGCAGCCATCTGGCCGTGCTACGCAAAATCCTGCAGAATGACTAATCCCCTCCAACCTCACTTCCTCCCTCACAAGCAGACACACCCGACTCACACACTCACATCCCCACACACAGAAACTGGCACAACACTACCAAACATGCAAAAGGGTGGCCACACCCTGTACATACCAGCCACAGACTGTTACACACACACACGCACACACATGGCCCACGTCTGTGGGTTGCAGACCCTTGAATGCGACCACAGGCAGCCTCCCCCACACTCCTCCCCCAGCCTCAGCCCCCCACCCCCCGTACAAAATGCTCTAGATTGCCCTGCTATGAATAAGCACCCCCCCCCCCCCCGTGGAGCTCCAGAGCCGGGGTGCTGGCCCCGGGTGCCCCAGGGCGAGCGCGTCTAGAGGCAGGCTCCTTCTCCGAGCACGGGTCCTGCACCCTCCCCGCGCCCCCGACACCCGCCCGCAGCCGGCACTCACGTCTGCGGGGTTCCTGCCTCTGCTCTCCGCGGCCGCGGCCCGCCCCCGCCCCGTCCTGCTAGACGTCACGTGACGCGGGCGGAGCGCTAGGGGACCGCAGCGCAGACAGCCTGGGGCGGCGGGCGTCTCTGGAGCTACGCCCGGGTTCTGCACCAGATCCTACGGCCTCCCGGCGCTGTCACAGGCCGGGATCATCTCTGGCCTGTTCCCTCCCCCTCGAAGCGCGAGGCGGAGGGGAGGGACCGGCACGCGGCGGTCGGGCCACCTGCAGTGCCCGAGCCGGCCTCTAGAGGCGCCCTGCCCGCGGCGGGGTCGGGGCG